ATCTAGTTGATTGAATCATGACCCCATTGTGAGACCTGGCTAGTTTGTAGATTGGTTCTTTAGCAATTTGAATCACTAGGTGGCAAACATTATATGGCAAGTATTTCACAAAGAGCCCTAAACCGCTGTTGTTACTAGGGCTGTTCCTAAAGATCAGCTCTGCAGTGAGGTCTGCCTGAGATTTCTCCCAAATTGGAGTAGTCAGAATATAAGGGTAAAGGCCACAGTGATTCTGGCTAGTCTCAGACTTATTGTTAGGTAAGCACTGCTACTCAATTAATTTAATGCTTTTTATTATGAGTTCATATGCAGTTTAATTTGCAAGCTTTCCTTTCAAAAATCATTCAGCCATTAAAGCTGCATAATCTTAGGAGGTTTTGAAGAAGCATAATTGATAAATCTTCTTTCCTTTCACACATTTTCTCTCATGTTTATTCATGGAAGCAAATCATTTTATAATTTATGCCAAGCCTTGGGATATCTGGCAAATTTTATTTCTAAAGGTAGAGATGATGATACAGTCTTAGAAACCGTTGAAAGGAGAGATTTGAGGCCTGAGACAGCTCAATCTTGAGTTCTAATTGTTTTACTTTGGCCACAAGACTGAGTCTAATTTTTGTAGCCACAAGAAAGTTACCTTGGAAGCCAGGCAGGCAAGCACTTGCTGATTGAATGGTTAAATTGTGAAGAAATCAAGGCTTATCTACAGACTCATTCTATACTTTTGGCTTCTGTCTCTGTCTCTGCCTGTCTCTTTCTGTCTCTCCCCCCTTCCTCCCTCCCCACCCCCCTGTGTCAGGGTAGAGAGAATCTGATCTGGACCAGTCTTTAGAATCTCCAAGGATGGAAAATGCAGAATACTGGGCCCACCAACACTGCAGGCATTGAATATCAAGTCAAGGCATATATATATATATATATATATAATCATATATATATGATTATATATATATAATCATATATATATATATGATTATGTGTATATATATATATCTTAGATGCAGGAAAACACAATTTTATTTTTGTCATTCAGTCACAGATTTAGTTGGCGAACTACCTATCAGAAATAGGGAGAAATGACACTGAGTAAATCATCCTCTATAGCAGCTAAGGATTTCATTAGAGGAATTGTACTAGGAAACCATCAAAGTAACTTGATTTCACAAGAAGCCTAGTCAATACTGCTCATGCTTATTCTGGCTAGCAGCTGTGTTTTCTACATAGTGAAGCTGTCAGTGCTGGGATTGGGCATAGCAATATCAATTTCACCAATAGAGCACTGCTGACCTTTCTAGCAAGCCTGTTGGTTCTCTGGTGTGGACAAAGAACAAAGGTCAATGACAAGGGTTGGGCACAGCCACTGTCTGGTGGAAAGTGGACTTAGGAATTGTTCCAGAATGCTGAAGGCACATGGACATGTCTCATGCATAAGAAATTAGTCTGAGTGAATGAAATCACTAAATTGGTTGAGACTTTGCAAGTTCATCTACTCCAATTCATTGTATCATTCCGATCTAATGCCATCCTTCCCAGGCAGACATCATTCATTTATAACAACTCACCAGCTAAGTTTATTTCACGTTTCCTTACAATTATTTCTCTCTGTCCAACCCTCTCTCATAGTCAGGAAACATTTGCTTATGACTAGTAAGCAGCTACTGAGCTGTTATGAAACAGCTACTGAGCTATTATGAAAAAAATCTAGCATTGTGGCTGAGAGGGATGGTTTATGTCTGTAATTTGTACTCTTGAGGTGGAAATTGGAGCATCACAGTTCTAAGCCAGCCTGGGAAATAAATAAGACCATCCCTCACTACTTCTATCAAGAAGTTAGATGTGGTAGCTTGTCACTTATAATTCCAACTACAAAGAACTATAAGCTAGATTAGATAGCTGAGTCAATCCCAGTTTTTTTTTTTTCCTGTCTTGTATCTAAAGGCAATTTTGTTTCTTTCAATACGATATCTTAGCCACAATAAGGCAGACCTACCTAGGAAGAGTGAAGTCTAGTCTAGCCTGGGGACCCAAGGAGGAATTGGAGACCCTATCTGAAAATTAGCTAATGCAAAAAATAACAACTGATTTGTGATGGGCATTGGTGGCTCATACTTGCAATCCTAGCTGCTCAGGAGGCTGAGAACTGAGTTCAAAGCCAGTCCAGGCAGGAAAAATCTGTGAGACTCTTATCTCCAATTAACACCAGAAAACTAGAAGTGGGGCTGTGGCTCAAGTGGTAGAGCACTCTCCTTGAGCTGATGAACTCAGGGGCAGTGCCCATGACCGACCAAAAAAAAAATGGTGTGGCTCAAGTGGTTGAGCACTTGCTAGGTAAATTCAAGACTTTAAATTCAAACCCTAGTAACTGCAAAAATTTTTTTAATTTAAAAAGCACTTAGAAATGGTGCATGGCTCTCTAGGGGTTATCAGCACATGCATGTCATAGTTCATGCCCACGTTTATTCATCAGACCTAGTTATTCCACAAACTCTTGCTGATTCATTTAGAGTTGATTTTTATACTGAGCTTCTCTACTATTTCATTCATAAATATGATAGCATGTATCAATTTGCTTTCTACTGTGGCTTGTGTGTTTATGTATTTGTGCCCCTTATCTGTAGGCTAGATTACCTTGCTCCTTTAGATAAAAAATGGAGAAGTTGGGCTTGGCTCAAGCAAGCTGTCCGAGTTTATGGTCCCTTGTAAAACCATTTCAGGAAATTCAAGAAAATTGATGTTTTACTACCCAACATTTTCTACTGTTGCTAAAACAAAAAAACAGTCTGTATTTCAAAAGTGTGAATAGTCTTACTCATTGTGATCTTATTTGGATTGGCCAAAAAGATAGAAACAATATAGATATCCATTGATAGATTAAATAGTTTGGCAATAGAATGCCGGGCCCTTATTGAAAAGATTGAGGCAGACCTTTATGTTACAATATGAATCAATGTGTGTGTGTGTGTGTGTGTGTGTGTGTGTGTGTGTGTGTGTGTGTGTGTGTGTGCCAGTCCTGGGGCTTGAACTCAGGGCATAGGCATTGTCCCTGAACTTATTTTGCTCAAGGCTAGCACTCTACCACGTGAGCCACAGCTCTACTTCTGGCTTTTTGGTGGTTAACTGGAAATAAGAATCTCACAGACTTTCCTGCCTGGGATGGATTCAAACTGTGATCCTCAGATCTCAGCCTCCTGAGTACCTAAGATTATAGTATAAGCCATCAGCACACACTGTATATATTAATATTTTTCATTTTTAAAGTGTGTTTGCATGATAGGTGGTATATGTGTATAATATTTCTGAATTGGTACAAACAAGGAATGGGTAACAGCATTTGATTATTAGGGCAGGGAACTGGAAGGCCAGCACAGAAGTATTAAGTCAGTTGATGCGCTAGTTCTATCTGTATCAAAAGCGCTATTTTAAAAGTTTGCCATTCCTGTGGTGAAGATAGCCCATCATGGCTAATTTTAAGCTAATAATAACTTAACATTAGGTATGAAATTTTCATTTGGCTGATAGGAGCTAGTTTTGAAGCACACTGCTAAGCACAGAGATGGGAGAGCTCTACTTTCTACTATAGACCTTTTGATGCAATTCAGTTTCTTATGCTACACTTAAGATTGTCCATTTAAAATGTAACAATAAGCCCTTTGATCCTAGCTACTTGGGAGACAGAGATCTATGGATCATAGTTTGAAGCCACCCAGTCAGGAAATGACCCTGAGACTCTTATTAGCCGCCAAAAAGTTGGAAGTAGGGCTGTGGTTCAAGTGGTAGAACACTAGCCTTGAGTGTTACGATAGTGCCCAGACCCTGAGTTCAAGCCCCAGGACCAGCATGCACACATACAAACAGTAAACAAAATATAACAATAAAAATGTAAATTTTAGAAAAACTATCACTCTAACACTGCTGTTTTCCTTTGGTGTCTTTAATCTTACTTCTTCCTTGACAGTACTCATTCTGCTGTGCTGTAACTCTTCAGACTTTCTGAGGTCAGGGCAGTCCAGAATCACATAACACTTATTGCATGTAGCATTTTCACGTGTAGCGAAGACAGCTGTCTCCTAAGTGCAGAAGCTGCAAGAATGTTCAGGTCACAAAGCATCGCCTTCAAAAACAGCCAGCTAGCTGGGTGCTGGTGTCTCACACTTTGTAATCCAAGCTATTCAGAAGGCTGAGATCTGAGGATTGTGGTTCAAAGCCAACCCTGGCAAGATGGGCTGTGATACTTTTATCTCCAGTTACTCACTCAAAACCCAGAAGTAGAACTGTGGCTCAAAGTGGTAGAGCACTAGCCTTGAACAAAAAGCTCAGGGACAGAACCCTGGCCCTGAGTTCAAGCTCTATGACCAACAAAAAACCAAAGCAAAACAAACAAGCAGAAAACCCAGCCTGCTGTTGAAGCTAGAACTCACAACCTAGGTGTCCTGACCACTGTGTAGTTCTTCACGTAAGGCCCTGCCCCACTGATGACAGGCTTGTTCTGAATGAGCAATCCAGCCTGCAGGGGACTAGCTGCAGCAGAACCCTTTTCTATTATCCCCTGACACAGCAGTTATGCCAAAGTAAGACCTGGCCAAGAGGAGACTTCAGGTACTGCTGATCCAAAAGATACTGCTCAAGGAGTTATTCTGCACTAGTCCCCAAGTCTAATCTTCCTGATTGAGTTCAATGTGTTTCTAAGAATTCCTGTCTCAACTTTCTACCCTCTCCAATAGCAAGGTATCCTTCAGGGTGGGCCTGAAACTTTCCTCTGTGAGTTTCCTGCCATAAGCTTACATCTCACCTGGGGCCCTTTACCACATATCACACCTTAGGTTGAGCTCTGTTAATGGCTGTCTTTTCCAATCAGTTGAATACAATTCTTGTCTTCTGGACAGACAATCTTGCACAGTGACTCCTAGATAGTCAGCACTCAATCCTTATCAGCTGAATGAAGGAACGTATGAATTCGAACACATCTTTATTCAACCTTCAGAGGCAACATGCAGAAACACTCAGAAATAGAAATATTTTATTTGGAAAGTTCTGCAGTATTATTTTAATCTTCATGTTCAATTAAGGCAATTAACATTCTTCCTTCCTGGAGGCAGATGGAGGGAATCGTCTGAGACTATTTAAAGTTCAGACTAAAGTCAAAGCTAATCATCTTGCATTCAGATGCAGCAGAAATTCTGGGGATGAGCTAGTAGAAGATATATACTGGCTTCCTGAGCCCATCACTAGACCCATGGTATTGCATTTACATTGCTTTGAAAAAATGGCTAAGTTCCATTACATCATACCACCTCTAGAGAAGATAATCTCATTATTGATCTCTTTACCATGACAGAGGGAGTCTAGTGTTGGATTGTCATGCTCTGTTGACTTTTAGCATTCAGAAGGTTTCACATATATTGCTTGATCTATTAGGGCTATTTAAATTCATACGATTCTCATGTTTTGAAATTCTTTACATGTCCAAAAAAGATAAATTAGCACTTCACAGAGCAACTCAGGTAGTTCTTAAACCCAATCTTTCAATATCCAGCTTTGTGTAGGAGACTGTGAGTGTGTGCCCATGTAAGGTGGGGAAGAGTACTGCTTATGGACACATACTTCCTCCTCCTGGGGACTAGGGGTAGCAAAAAGCTTCTGTAGTACCAAAAAAGTAAACATTGATAATATGGCCCAGCAAGCAATGAGATTTGCTGATATCTAAAGGCAAATAATAATGAAGCAGAATTGCTTCCACATGTTACTAGACATTTTTCCATACCATAATTAACATCTAATAAGCAAGATTAAATATGTGGAGCAACAGTATTCTTAAAGGTAGATGAAAAAAAAAAAAAGAAAGAAAGAAAAAAGAAAAAGCAAAAGTAGATGCTTAGTGATAGCTCTATGCTGCCCCCTAATGGTCGCCTTCTCAGTTACACCTTTCTTGCTACCATTAAGAATCTACTTGAGAGGTTGGAGGTGTGGCCCAGGTGGTAGAATGACAATCAATGAGCATGAGCAAAAACAAGGGTCTCAGAAAAAGAAAAAAAATCCACCTGAGAACACATTATTCAAGAGGACACAGTACTCAAGAGTACACAATACTCAAGATGTTAGGTCTTCAGTGCAAGGCCTAGAGTTAAAAGCAGAAGATATCTTACAAATGATAAAACAACAACTGGCAACCATTGAGACTTCAGGTAAAGAACAGCTCTGATGATGCGGCTAACTTCTACAGGCTACCAGGACTTTGGGGACCCTAATAGCTTCATTGGTTTCTCAGATGCTCCAAGGGGCCAAGGGACAAAGATGGGAAGAAGAGGTGGGCCACACAGCAGAGATGGGTCTGTGAAGCAAATTCACAGATAAGGGGAAGGAAGAGGACAGGTGGCTTGTCACAGATCCGGTGTCATCCTCTAGTAACAGCCTTTCCACTGTCCTCACTTTTTGAACAGACAATTATGTCAAAATTAATAACAGCAGTTTCTATCCTAATGGCCAAAAGCAGGAGGGTACCTGGAATTATTTTTCCTTTTTTCCTCTTGATTTGCAAAAAAAGCAAAAATAAATCAGGAATAAAAATTAAATTTGTTGGAGATTGTGTCTTCAGCAAAAAAAAGAGGCATTTTTGTAAAGTATAGAAAGGCTACTTGGCTAGCAAATATGCACTTTTTGGAATCTTAGATAGTGTCACCAAGTTGCAAACTTTGGAATGGCTTGAATAGTCCTCATCTGCATTCTCAGAGCGACTGGTGCTGGGTACGTTGACTTCTCGCCTGCCTGGATGGCCCTACACCCTCTTCATCCCTTTCCCCATGAGACAAGCAAACACTGTCATGACCATTTTGGGATTCACTTCAACCAGGTCTTCTGGAAGGGCATACACTCTTGCTCCAATTTTCCGGGCCATAGAGATGGCATACCTAAAGGAAAGAAGAGAGGACAAATGAAGAAAGCTTAAGCAACAGCAAACGAAGGGGACTGCTCAGGTTCTCAGTACCCTACATGCACAAATCAGTCCTGGACTCGCTCATACTGATCATCAACATCTCCCCGTCCATGTAGGCAAATCTTGGTTCAACAAAGTTCCCATCAAAGCCTCAGTCTTGCTGTCTAGCCTCGAGACTATGATCAGATGTAGTATTTGTTGTGAGAAATATCCTCAGCTTCTGTCACTTTTGGTACCCACGCTACTAGCTTTCTGTTGGGCAACACAGTGTGGCAGAAATGTAACTGTAACCCCTCTGTATAGTATCTTTACAATAAAAAATATATATATTAAAAAAAAGAAAAGGTCTGAAAACTGAACAAGAATTGATGCTAAAAAGCATGTATAATTTATTTCAGCCATAGAACCTCTTTTTTGGTAGTACTTGCTTGGTAGGTGCTTTTTCGGGTAAGCCATATTTCCAGCCTGGTTTTGCATTGGTTATTTTTTGAGTTAGGATCTTGTTTTATACCTTCACATTGCTGAGGATGACAGGTACATGCCACTCAGCTCAGTCATTGGTTGACGTAGAGTTCAATTTTTGTCCTTTCACTCAAAGGGATTTGTTGAAGTCTTAAACCTAGCATCTCTGATTGTGGTCTTTTTTGAACAGAGGGTTATTGCAGATGTAATCAAGAGAAGCCATGCTGGAATAGGGTGGGGTCCCAATACAATATGATTGATACCTTTGTAAGAATAAAAGAGACACAGAAAAACAGTGTACACTGTACCATGATGTTAGACTAGAGGTACAGGCAGAGATTGGAGTTACGCATATATAAGCTGATAATAAGGATTGCTGACCATTAAAAGAAGCTGGAAGAGAGGCATGAGTCATGAGACAGGGGACAGGATCTTCCTTAGAGCTCTTAGAAGGGACCAATTCTGATAACAGCTTGATTTTTGGATTTCTAGCTTCCAGGACCATGGAAGAGTAAAGACTTGTTGCTTTAAATCACCTGGTTTGTGTGATACTTGGTTATGGCAGTGCCCAGTGGCCAACATGACCTGTTCTGAGAAAGGCACTTCTTTAGAGGTAGATATCTCAGGTTTTACAGGCTCTGTTGCAACTAACTTTGTTACAACACTGCTGTTGTAAGGAGAGAAGCAGTTATAGGCAGCATGAAATGAATAGATTGTGTTCCAATAAAATTTTATGTAAAAAAGCAGACCACAGGCAAAGTCTGGCTGTTCAGAGACTATAATCCACTGACACTCATTCTCAGTGGCAGGTGATTGTGAGGGGTAAAGCCCATGGCAGCTGTTCACCAGCTGGTGAAGAGTCTGGTGTTCCGTTAACCCTTGCCTATTCATATCCATGGGTATTCACGAATGGGGCATTTGTGTTTGGAACTTCCCTGGCTGGCACAAACTTTATTTTTTTAAATCTTCTCCAGATTAGGATTTGGAAGTTGATTTATAAAACTACAGACTTGCTCATCAGTTACAAGAATGTTCTCGTGTCTGTTTTGCTTCCTTCTATCAGCATGGATAAAATAATGATGAGGCTACAGATCAGGACTAGAAAAAAACCAGGGTGTTCACATAAAGGTACTGGCATTAGACTTTGCAACTCTTTAGTTGGTAGTTGTGTCCCTCCTTTATCTCAGGTTTATGTACATACTTTGCATTGTTGAGTTTCTCCTCATCATTCAAATCTTCTGTCTTCAGAAGGTCATAGTTAATGGAACCTGGTTGAATGGCATCAATGAGGTCTAGGACTGGCAGACTTGTACTAATCTTCGGGTCCTACATAAAGAGAAAGGAAAGCTTTTACTTCCACTTAGCTCAAGGCAAGTAGATGGCTCTTCTTCTTTTTTGAGTGTGTTGGTCCTGGGGCTTGAGAATAGGATGTCAGAAATACCCTGTCTCATGTAGAGTAACTATTCCATAGTGAGTGGCAGGGGTAAAGAAGAGATGGCAGGTAACATGGGTAACAGTAGATGCTCTTTTCCCAGAAGAACTTGAGGAAAGAGAGCCACTGCCACTGTGTGATTAAATACAATGACAGACACTATCTAATATTTGCCAGTGCCTCACACGTCACTTGGCACTGTCTCAGTTTATTTCTCTTGTCATCAGAGCCCTAAGGTACAGAAATTTGATCTTTCTTTGTGCAGGGAGGGAGGAACATTTTTCAAGATACATATGTCATGTGTGTGTGTGTGTGTGTGTGTGTGTGTGTGTGTGTGTGTGTGTTAAGTTGAAGATAAGAACCTCACAGACTGGCTTTGAACCCTGATCCTCAGCTTCCTAAGTAGATTGGATTATAAGCATTAGTCACCAGCACCCAGCCTCAATTGTTTCTCTCTTTTTTTTTTCCTTTTTTTTCTTTTTTGTTGGTCAAGGAGCCTGAACTCTGGGCCTGGGCGCTGTCCCTCAGCTCTTCAGCTCAAGGCTAGTGTTCTACCACTTGAGCCACTCCACTTCCAGCTTTATCTGCTGAGCCACCTTCCTAGCCCTCAATTGTTTATCTTAAAAGGTATATTTTTTTGTGCCAGACCTGAGGCTTGAACTTAGAGCATAGGCACTATTCCTGAGTTTTTGTGCTCAAGGCTAGTATCTTACCACTAGCTTCATTGGAGATAAGAGTCTCATGGACTTTCCTGTCTGGGCTGGCTTTGAACTGCAATCCTCTGATCTCAGCCTCCTGAGTAGTGAGTATTACAGGCATGAGCCACAAAAGATTGATCACCTGCCTTCACTGGCCCTAACAAGGCTCCTGTGAAGCTGTTCTTCCTCCAGTCCTGACTTTTTTGGAGGGGGGAGTCCAGTCGTGGGCCTGAACTCTGGGCCTGGGCGCTGTCCCTCAGCTCTTCAGCTCAAGGCTAGCGCTCTACCACTTGAGCCACAGCACCACTTTCGTTTTTTTTCTTTTTGCTTATGTGGTGCTGAGGAATCGAACCCAGGGCCTCATGCGTGCAAGGCAAGTGCTCTACCACTGAGCCACCTTCCCAGCCCTCCAGTCCTGACTTTTAAACTAGACAATTGTACTTAAGATGTATAGATATTATCATAATATGGACCAAGTACACAGGTACCTTAAGGAAGAAGCCAGTTATTGTGTGAATGAGGTTAGAAATTCAATAAAATATCATGCTGTTATTTATTAAAATGGAATTTGGATACAAGGATGTGATCAGGGGCTATTTACATGGGCCATCTTTAAGGATTTTATATTTCACCATTATGTTCGAATTCTGAACCATAGACGTATATGCATTTAAAAATATTATATTTTATGTTCCTTTCAAAGAACAAGGCTTAAATGATGTGTTACATATGGTGATTTAAAAAATTACTATGATGGGGCAGAGATGTAGCTTAGTGGTAAAGCACTTGTCTAGCAAGTGTGAGGTACAGGTTTGATCCCAGTACTGGAAAAAAAGTAGAGGGGCTGGGAGGGTGGCTCAGTGATAGAGCGCTTGCCTTGCATGCATGAGGCTCTGGGTTCGATTCCTCAGCACCACATAAGCAGAAAAAGCTGGAAGTGGTGCTGTGGCTCAAGTGGTAGAGTGCTAGCCTTGAGCTGAAGAGCTGAGGGACAGCGCCTAGGACCAGAGTTCAGGCCCCATGATGGACAAAAAAAAAAAAGTAGAAAAGAAAAAAAAAACCATTATGGGAGAAAGTGATGAGAAGTTTGTCAGTGAACATTAAAACAGTAATAGGCAGTACAGGAGGAAGAGCCTAAAATGTCTAACTCTGAAGGTCATTTAACATATAATGGAGACAATCAAGACAAGCATGGAGTTCAGGTGGCTTCTAAAGGGAGGAGTAAAACTCACCTTGAAGCTAGAGATGGAGGACCTTTTGTCAGCCTCCCTCAATGTCCCATTTACCCAGTTGACAATAATGTCATCATTGACCTTCTGCCCACCACCAATTTCTTCAAGCATATTCAGTGTGTACCTGAAAAAAAAAGTTAAGATCAATTTCTGGAGAAAAGTTGTTGAAAAACTTCTTTTCTTTTTAGAGGATGATCAAGATACTATTCGTTATATTGGAGGGAACGAACAATATGTAACAACATTAATTCTTCTACTACCTTAAAATAAAAATGGATGGTGGTTAAGATGAAGCATAAAGCACGCACTTCCTTCTAAGCAGGGTCTTTGCAGGGTGAAGTTGGGCAGGAAGAACAAGAGTAAGAGAAGAATCCTACAGAAAAGAAAAAAAAAGCAAAAGACACTTCCAGGCATGGTAGCCTATAACCTGAGCTACTTACTAAGCAGGCTGAGATCTGAAGATCACAGTTCAAAGCCAGCCCAGGCAGGAAAGTCCTAACATTCTTATCTCTAGTTAACCACTAAAAAGCAGGAAATAAAACCCTGGCTAAGGGGCTAGGAAGGTGGCTCAGTGGTAGAGCGCTTGCCTTGCATGCATGAGGCCCTGTGTTCAATTCCTCAGCACCACATAAGCAAAAAGAAAAAAAAGCCAGGAGTGGTGCTGTGGATCAAGTGGTAGAGTGCTAGCCTTGAGCTGAAGAGCTGAGTGACAGCGCCCAGGCCCAGAGTTCAGGCCCCACAACCAGATCCAAAACAACATCAACAAAAAACAAACAAAAAAAAAAACCAAAAAAACCTGGCTATAATGGTAGAGTGTCAGCCTTGAGTCAAAAAGCTAAGGGACAGTACCCAGGTCCTAAATTCAAACTCCAGTCTCAGCACACACACACACACACACACACACAGAGTGTGCATGTGCAAATCAACCAACAAAAACAAAGACTTTGTGTTGATCTATACAAGCTGAACCAATCACCAACAGAGCTAAACTATTAGAAATACTCCAGATACAAGAAAATTATATTGTATAGAAATGTAAACCTATACAAAGTGAGGAAGAACACCAGAAATACCAATATGTGGGTCTATATAGCATGGTTTTCTCATCTTCAAATCCCTCCAACAGGTAGTTGTTACTTCCACAAAGGAGTTAAAAGTAGAAAGGTAGGAAAATATATGTCATACTGACCACTAATCAAGAGGAAGCAGTAGTTGGCTATATTAATACAGAAAAGAATAAATTTCAGAAAAAAGAATCTTACCAAGCATGAAAGGTCACTCCATAATGATACAAGTATGAAACTAATCAAGATAAAGTAATCATCTAAAACATTTTTGAATGTAACAACAGATTCTTCACAATACCTGAAATAAAAACTATTAGAACTAAAATGAAAAAGGTTAAATGTTTAAAAATATTAATAGAAGCCAGGCACTGGTGACTCACACCTATAATCCTAGCTATTCAGGAGGCTGAGATCTGAGGATCGCAGTTCAAATCCAGCCTGGGCAAGAAACTCCATCAGACTCTTATTCCCAACAAACTACTCAGAAAAAGCTGAAAGTGGCACTGTGGCTCAAGTAGTAGAGTGTTAGCCTTGAGCAACAGAAGCTCAGAGGCAATGTCTAGCCCTAAGCTCAAGGCTTCAGGACTGTTAAAAAATAGATAAATAGATAGATAGATAGATAGCATTTATAATAGGAAACTTAGTTACTAAGTTTCACTTAAAATACAGCTTCATAGAATTACATCACATTGTAAAAATTTGCTGTATACTACTAGGTCAAATAACCATTAGAAACAGTCAATCCTGGGAGCTATGCTACCTTCTCATTAGCTGCCAGACCAAGGCCAAGGTGAGGGTGCGGTTGCCTTCATTGAGATCTTGTCCGCCAATGCCAACCAGGGAAAATTTAGCTTGATTCTTCCCCAGTTCCACTGCATAGTTACAGCTCTCCAGCTGTTAAGGAGGCAGAAGGAAAAACCATTTAATGTCATTATCTCATAAATACATAGCAAAAATAGCAAAAAAAACCATACAGAATGAAATACTTAATACCACACTGGATAATCTCTGTAATCTCTACTGCTTCCTATAATTCTAGGATTGTGAGCTAGAACTTTTTCATCTTTCCTTAAATAAAACTCCTTACCTCCAACCAAAAACATCTAAATTACCCTCTCTTTTTTTTTTGGTGCTAGTATTGGGTGGGACTTGAACTCAAGACCTGGGCGCTGTCCCTTAACTTTTTCCTCTCAAGGCTGTCACTCTGCCCCTTGAGCTGCGGTTCCACTTCCAGCTTTGTAGTGGTTACTTAGAGATAAGAGTTTCTCAACTTCCCTGCCTAAGTTATCTTCAAACCACAATCCTCAGACCGCATCCTCCTGAGTAAATACATTAAAGGTGAGAGCCACCAGTACCCAGCTTCCCCATGGACCCTTAAAACTAGAACAAGTTCATAATTAAGAACATGTGATACACAGTAGATAGTCATCCTCAGTTACCTGCAATATTGCTTAAAAAGCTGAATTCATGGAGATTAGTGTGAACACTGTGTATTCTCCACTGTACAAATACAAAGCAGATAGATGTGGAGGGCAGATATTTTCATGGCCACTCATGGATCACTAAAAATCACACTGATTCTCATCAGCCAGGAATGGCTGTACCAAGCTGGTTGTTACAAAACAATGTTCCCACTGTTTGACAGTAGACAAACTGTACCAGTCAAGCTGTCAGTACAAAGCCTTAATTCTTTAGAAAATTGGAATGAGGAGCCTGCTGGGGTCTGGAAAAACCCTGTGGCTCTGCTTGCTCTAATTATCTTAATTAGAATTTTTACATGCTCTTGTTTAAAGACAGCCTACATAGAATTATAAGTAAGTAATCAATGGAAATAATGGACTCACTTTGATAAACCTACTCAGGTTTCTGATGCCTCTACTATAATTTAATCCTTGGATAAACACTACTTACCAAAGTTTGGCTGCCTGATAAAGTACTTGAAAAGAACTCTTGCAGGTGATAGCATTACTGCCTCACAGAACATCAAAACAGTCATTTTATATATATACATATATATAAATACCTTCTTCATATTGCCCCCCAGCTTGGGGTATGGGGGTTTGTTTACTCGGTTCCAGTCCACAGGGACTTTAATCTTTTCATAGAGCTGGAAGATGACCAGGGCATCTGATAAATCACTGAACAAAAACAAAAAAGAATTCTCACATATCCAACACTTCTTCATAACCTACAATGCACCAGGCACTTCCTTAAATATCAGCACATTCACAAGAACCCTGAAGTTTTGATGAGAGTAGCTCTATCTCTAGAGATGCAGACACTGGATTAGGGAACTTTCCCCTCTCAGGATGGCCTACCTCATCCCCTTCCGAGGACATACACTGTTCCAGAAAGAAGAAACATAGCCCTAACAAATGGCATAGGAGACATTTAACTGCAAAGATAACACTCTTGTTTGGGCTGATCTTGAGAAGATTACAGGCTTGCCACACAGAGTGAATTTGTCATTCTGCTGCAGTATGATTGTTGTATTAAACACACAGTGAAGCTTTTCAGCTGAACATTCAACATCTGCTGATCAACGTGACCCCCTCCTCCATAAAAAACACATATTCTAAGAACAGAATGCATACCACAGCCATATTTGAAATCCTATGCTCTTTGTGTCTCGTATCGGGGATGGGGTCTCAGCTATTCTCACCTGTACAAATGATTGACTCGAGGGTTAACTCCCAGGGAGTTCATCCAGTTCCTAAATGTCCGTTCTTCCCTTGTCTCTCCTAGATTAATAAAGACTGGTTATTTTTAGCTCTTCTATGACTCTAGCAGATCTTATGAGCTAAGTTTAATAAAGAATACTATAGATAAGAGCGAGAGAGAGACAGAGAGACAGAGAGACAGAGAGAGACAGAGACAGAGACAGAGACAGAATAAGAAAAGTATATGTGTTGGCTGAATGGATGAAGGTCACTATCCTGGGTTAAATTTTCCCTCCATTTCAGTTTAATGAGTATTTTATAACAACTGTTAATATTGTGCAACATCCTAGGTGGAAGAACAGTTCAGAGGTGGCCTCAAGACAAGAATTTTTGTCTTCCCCTCAGAGATCATACAAAGTAGAGATCAACAGAGACAGACACGAATAGTTTGGGCTAAATCTAGAGGGATGAAATTTGAACTTTATTTGTGTGTGTGTGTGTGTGTGTGTGTGTGTGTGTGTGTGGTGTGTGTGTGTGTGTGTGTGTGTGTGTGTGTGTGTGTGTGTGTGTGTGTGTGTGTACCAACCCTGGGGTTTGAACTCAGGGCCTGGGCACTGACACTGAACTTTTGTGCTCACAGCTAGCATACTACCACTTGAGCCACAGCTCTATTTCTGGCTTTTGGGTAGTTGAGATAATAGTCTCACAGACTTTCTTACTTGGGCTAGCTTCAAACCTCAATCCTCAGCTCTAAGCCTCCTGAATAGCTAGGATTACATGCACGAGACACTGGCCCTCAACTCTGAGGTTTAGTTTTTAGGCTATTTTAAAAGCTGGATATTAACGAGACAAGAGTAGGGGATTGGGGCTAGGTCTTTACTAACAAGAACAAGAATGGATCTGTGGGGTGCTAACTAGGAGAGAACACAGTAATAAGGTGCCCAGAGGCTGGAATCAGAACTGGGGATCTTTTAATGCCAGGTAGCAGATTGGGTTAATATATTCGTGCCAGTCATTATAGATTCATATTTTATTACTATTGGAAGATAAGGAATGCTGGGCTGGGATGTGCCTGGCAGCCATGTGCAGAGTTGCTGGGAGGTGATATGCATTTAAATTAAATGCAGAGTGGATAGGATTGGCAGTGGCATGTGGGACACAATGAAGTGCTTGATGAATGGAGGAATAGGCCCCTAAGACCCAACAAAATAATTGGTAGATGAAGCCCACCAGTATCTTCCCCAGCCAGAAGACCAGGAAAGAAAATTAACAATCTAGAAGATATCCCAGATGAGGAATTTTAGTATTTGTTGACATCATAGATTGAAAGGGTAAAGAAGAGACTGATACCATAGTGGGACTCAAACTCTGTAGTTTTAGTGCTTAATGGACAGGGAGAATTTCTAAAGGGGAGCAAATGGGCTAGGAAGTGGGGTGTGAAAGCAATGGGGAATAGGAGAAATGATTCGTTCTGGGTTTTTTTAAATATGCCTCATTTCAAAAGATAGCAAAGGACCCAAACAGTGATGCCCAAGAGACAGTTGAAAATGAGTGACTAGTGGAATTGACACACAGATTTGAGATCAGCAAAACACATAAACACCTGACCAGGGGTGGTCCAGTGATTCAAATGCAATAATGCTGGACCTGTACCCAATACTGCATTTCCAGTGCTAGAAAAGCACATGGAAGGGCTCAACCCACACCTGACATCTTCTTGCTTTGGTGACATTTACTTAATATTGGTTTTGACTTGAATTCTTTTTACAGAACTAGTTCATGATGAAAAAGAGAATAAGTGAGCATTTTAGCTATGGAAGCTGATTGCAGCTATGTGCCATTTGTCCCATCTTAGAGCAAAATACAAATGTCAGGATTCCAGTCTATGCATTAGTAATCTAAACCAAAGAAACAAAAATTAAATGGAAAAACTTAGTAAGCATAACCTTGTATAAATTAAAATTAAAATGTTACTTTAGCCAGTGTATGGTGGGCATTCTTGTCTGTAGGAATTAACATCATCTACTGTGTACATAAATTAGACTTCTTGTATCATAGAATTTATTTTATCCCAAAATTAAATATATTGTCTACACAAAACCATGCAGTTCTGATAATGGATGAAGCCTAAGTATAATGGTTCTGATATAATTGTATTTGATTATTCCTGATGGCTGCAGTTGACCTTCCTTCTTTCCTTCCTTCCTTCCTTCCTTCCTTCCTTCCTTCCTTCCTTCCTCTTTCTTTCTTTCTTTCTTTCTTTTTTTCTTTCTTTCTTTCCTTCCTTCCTTCCTTTTTTCTTTCTTTTTTTCTTTTCTTTTCTTTCTTCTGTTATATATCAGTGAATTGATGGCTCTTTGAACACTGGAAGGGGTTGCATTTGCTTAGGGGTGATTTTGGATTGCCCTTCGATCAGAATTGTTTTTCAGAACAATGTAAGCATTTGGGTTACAGTTACCTTCAAGGGCCCCCCAGTCAATATCCTGGTTGTCTGGTTTGTGCAAAGCAGGGTACTTGTTGAAGAGGTTGGCAATGAAAGCCAAGTTCAACTTGGGGTTCCCTCGGACAACGTCTGTAGCTGTGACAAACTGCCGGCAGCCCAGCCTCTCTGCCTGCTGCAACATGCATTCTGCCCTCTGGATGTCATCCTTCTCCTGCAATGAAAAGAGCGTTCCTAGGTCGTGGCTCTCCAGGGATGTGTGAATACATATAATGTGACAAAGGAATGGGAGTCTCACTGAGATGCTTGGTATTTCATAGACACTTACTAGCAGAACATTATTACATACCTTCAGAAAGTTACAGTAGTCAGAAAGCCACAAATCAAAGTAACCTTAGAATTTAAGTAATTAAGACTCCTTATACAGAGCTCAAAGATTAATAGCTGGTGACCCTGTTTTTAAAGCAATTCAATAGATTCTGGGGTCTTATCATTTACATTGATCTCAATTCTTTTTGCCCACTGTGTGCGTGTGTGCACACACACACACACACACACACAGGCTTGAACTCAGGGCTTCAGCACTGCCCTTCAGCTTTGGCATTCTACCATTGTGCTACAGCTTTGGTTCTGGATTTTTGGTGGTTAATCAGAAATCAGAGTTTCACTGACTTTCCTAACAGGGCTGGCTTTGAACTTCCATCATCAGCTCTCAAGCCTCCTGAATAATTAGAATTACAGGTGTGAACCACTGGTGCCTGGCTAAGAAAATCCTAAAGTTTTAGCATTCAGACTAAGGTTGGTGTTATATGAAATGAGGGATGTACAAAGAATTGCTAGCTTGGTATATGGCATTTAACTAAGGTTCAGTTTTTTATGTTTTGTTTCTAGATTCAGTTTTTCCACACTTCTCAAAAACCAGTAATAGTGCTCAAAAGTTGAAGACAGATTTAAGGAGAACTCTAAAGTACAGGTCATAGGGAGTCATGGAATGACCAACACAGAGGCAGTAACACAGTATTCTCTACACACAGTTGTGGCGTGGCCTTACCCTCAGTCCTGACATGTCAATCACAATAGCAGGAATACCTTCTTCATCTCCTTTTGGAGCCACCTGATCAAGCAGGTGGTAATAAGCTTTTGAGTCCTGTGAAAAATGAAGAAATTACACTTTTGAAACATCACCATTAATTACATACTTAGCACAACCATAATTTCCCAAGGGCATAGATTTTATTTATTATTCCACTGTCATTTAGAATGTAACTTAAGTAACAAGGTATAGAAACATTCACTAAGTTGAATGTTTTATTTGTGTGGTTGAAATATCATATTTGCTTCCCTTTTGAAAGGAATTTAACAAATAAAAATGCAATTTACATACAAAAGACAACCCAAAGAGGCAAATATTATTCTCTTATATTGAAGAGAAAAAAATCATCTCACTTATAAGCATTAAATTGTACACAAAAAATATATAAACCTTTATATTGATATAGAAGTCAGTCAGCTAAGGTTTCATTTTTTAAAAAAGTGACAGAAAAAGGAAACAGACGTTTAAAGCAGAGTTTAAAAATACATTTAAGTGGACAATCAGCAAAAAAAAAAAAAAGAAAAGAAAAGATTTCAAAGACAGAAAATTGAAGCGTTAAGCCTTTTTTGTAAAAAGAAAAATATGATGACAAGTACTTGTAAAGTTTATCTAGAAACTAGAAAATATATTTAGTTATAATAAATTGGCATTGAATTTTTTTTTGTCGGTTGTGGGGCTTGAACTCTGGGCCTGGGCACTGTCCCTTAGCTCTTCAGCTCAAGGCTAGCACTCTACCACTTGAGCACAGCACCACTTCCGGCTTTTTCTGCTTATGTGGTGCTAAGGAATCGAACCCAGGGCCTCACGCATGCAAGGCAAGCACTCTACCACTGAGCCACCTTTCCAGCCCCTGGCCTTGCATTCTTAAGTTTTGATTCTGAATGTTTATTGATAAGAATTCTCAGAACTAGTCTTTAAAATTCAAACATTCTTAGTCAATGAAAGCATACAGAATGTCAAGTAATTTATTTAAAAATCACCTTAATTTCTCTTAAAGATGGAAAATCAGCTCTGTTGCTTTGTTTTTTATATTCAGTAGGGTCTATGTTGACTAGAAGTATGCTTATCACTTTTGATATTAGAAATAAGAGAATGAGAGAATTTGATCATTGATATTACAAAGGGAGGAACAGATCTGTTTCTCTCTCTATCTCTCTTGTCTTGTCTGTCTACCCCCTCCACCTCTCTTCTCTCTCGTTCCTTCTTATTATATCTACAGCTATGCTGAAGATTTCACACAGGTATTAGGCACCAATGAAATCTTCCATTTATTACATGTTACAATTTTTAGTTTTGCTAATAGACATTTCATCTGACCCTAATAATCCACTCACTCTATCTAGTATGGATGTTCTTTGATGATTCTATGTGATTGAAAACTACTTCCTGACAGTGCTAGCTACTCAGACATACACATGACAGCCCAGCCCTCATGTGTGCCATGAGAACAGGTATACACACACTATGTACATGCTCAGTGAAAGATTAAAAATTAGAGTTACATTTTACAATTGCTAACTGCTGGTTTTGCTTCTGTAAACTTGCTTGCCCTAGCACTGACCCTTCCCCTCCCTGGAAATAAATAAAAAGTTTCGGAGTCTAGATGTCAGCCCTGGGACAAGCTCTGGAGTTGTAAATAAAGAACAAACAAGTAAATTCCCCAAATGGATAAATGAGACCCAAGATAAGGACCCAAGATAAGGACCCAAGATAAGGACCACCTGGCAAGTCCAGCAAACTAGGCCAAATGTTAATCAATCACAGGCCTGTAACCATGTAAACCCCCCTTAAACCAACCATGGGCCAATCATTTTACAAAGAGTGTTACAAAATTTCCCGCGTGGCAAAGTGATTGTTGGTGTAGATGGTGACCTTTAAATGGACCAATCATGGGATGCTTTGTGTTATGCGTTAATCTTGTGGTTTTTGCCTTTAAAAAGGCTTGTAACCGCTGCTCAGGGCTCTCTCCCTTGCCGGGGCAGAGAGACCGTTTGCGCAAACGTCAAATAAAACTCCTCTTGCTTATTGCATCTCCCAGCCTGGAGTCTGAGTTTCTGGGGTGCCCTCCCATTGACGAAAGTTTCCCAGGAGTCTGGGGTCTTTCACTCGCTAGCATGTTCCTGTCATGCATACACTGTCCAAAGCATCCAAATGGTTAAACACGCTTAAAAACCTTACCTTTAGTGATAAGGCATCAAGCCAACGTATGGCTGAGATTATACAACCTAATTTTGGCTAAACAGCTCAACAATTGCTGGGCTTGACTGTTTTGTACAAAGGCAGATGCTGTTCTGCTTCCACTAAACCTCATTTTGGTGGGTGCTGCTGGAAAAATGTTGAAAACCAGTGGAAGTTTCACATTGAGAAAGTCGAAATTAGTTGAGGTCCTAAGGAATGGAGGGTGCTCCACCTACAAGTGTCACTGTGCTGCCTGATCCTGAGTTCCACACGCCTCTGGGCCCAGCATCTGGAAGCTCTTACTCAACTTTAAGCCTTATGTACTCTTGGCAGATCACATGACTATCCCCCCAACCCCCACCCCATGGAGTTTCCTTCATCTTTAAGAAAGTGGAGCCTGGAGCGTTTTTTCCTTCTAAGCATCTTCACATCCTACCTGGTTTTATGGGGATTGCTTTCTGACCTTCCTTAACTGCTCCTTAAGCGCTTTCTACCCTGGTACGTCTCAACATGACACAGAACTCTTCATATACTTGAAAACCACGGTGATTGCTTCTCCAGCCTTTTCCTGTATGGAGCTCCTTTGCTTGGGGCTTTTGTAAGGTTTGATAAGTCAATTAATGAACTTATAATGGAGCTCCATCAGTGTCTGGACTGTAGCAGATACCATGTTGGCTGTTGCTAGTGTAATTAGGAGCATAATCTTCGCTTAGTTTTTCAAAAGGCATCTTTACTAGATGTGCCCATTTATATAACAGAGAAATGGACATTCTGTGTTTACTCCTCTTTACCTAAAAGGAATTTTATCTCCTTTGTATCATCTCATTTACCCTCTATTGTCCCTCTGCTTTCTACCACTGAAACTCTAAGTGAGATCTGTCACCCTGCTGCACCAGGACTCTGGGTAGATGTGTGTGTGGCCCAGAAGAAAAGCTGCAGCTTTAAAAAAAAAAGAAAAGAAAAGCTGAAGCTAGTTTCTTGAGGACAGTGAACAGCTCCAAACAAAACCAGACTATGGCTCGAGCTGCTGAAAACACGAGGCTCAGTATCTGATTTTTCTCTCTTAAGGTAGTTTCCCTGCAGCAATTTACTAGAGTTCAAAGCCATTCTTCCTACCTTGATGTCAATACTGAAGTTGCTAATTTTGTTGCAGCCTGCATTTTCCAGGTGGTAATTAGCCCACCTTAACAGGAGGTCTTCGGGAGAGAGCTTCATCAAATCCTCCAGGCTCTCCCCTTCTCTCAAAAGAGCAATCAGTGCTGAAGAAACACAACAAACAAACAACAATAAATACTGGTTTTTGTGGGGTGAGGATGTTCATTATAATATTCATGAAACCTTGCTAGAAAGTTAGCAGCAGCATCTCACTGGGATAAATTTCTTACAGACTTTCCCATGGAATAAATAAATACTTTGTTATTATTTCTTAAAGGTGGTTCAGTTAGCACCAGGAGCTCACGCTCATAATCCTAGCTACTCCAGAGGCTGACATCTATGGATTGAGGATGGAAGCCAGTCCAGGCAGGAAAGAATGTGAGATGCTTATAAAGCCAAAAATAGTGCTGAAGCTCAAAGCTTTAGAACACTAGCCTTGAGTAGATGAGCTCAGAGACAGTGCCTAGGACCTGAGTTCAAGATTCACAACTGCCAAAAAAAAAGAAGGTTCACTATTGTAATGTGAATTCTCAGTTTTCAGATGGACAGGACAAGGCACATGCCCCCCACCCCCCCAAAAAAAAAAAACTCCAAAACTCAATGGTAGGCCTATGGACACTATGGCATAGCCAAAACAAAAACCAGAAACAAAAAAACCAAGACCATTGGCTCAAAATCCTCTGCTGGTTCTATCAGGCCACATTTCATGAAGTAACAACACTTTTCAAGTGATTGACTTTGTAATAATGACTGTGTTCTCTTCTCTAGTCCCATGGATAGTTTATATTATAAATGCTTACCTACATAATCATAGCAACTCAATAATTTAATCAACTCTCCTATTTCCCCAGATGGATTTTTTTTGGCTTAGTTAAAAGGTTTAAAATTAGCCGATTTGAATTTGCAAATCAATATTCTTTTGCATGAGTTTAAGATCCCCATTTGCTGTTTCCCCCCCCCCCTTCTTTTGATTGTTTAGTATATTGGTTTTCAAGCGATAGCTCATGAATCTTCATTGGTTATTGTGCCTTGTATGTATACATTTAAAAGGATGTATAACTGAAAATTAAAATTGGAATACAGATTTCATATTGGGAAGATTTGTACCTAAAAGCTGAAAGTTGGTTACATATCAAGGTTTTTTGTTTTGTTTTTTGGGTTTTTTGGTTTGTTTGTTTGCCAGTCCAGGGGTTTGAACTCAGGGCTTGGGCTCTCTCCTCAGATGCTTTAGCTCACTTGAGCCTCAGCACCATTTCCAGCTTTTTGTGAGTAGTTCCTTACAGATAAGAGTCTCATGGACTTTTCTGCCTGGGCTAACTTTGAACTGCCTCTTGAGTAGCTAGGATTACTGGTGTGAGCCACTGGTGCCTGGCTAGTACTTTTATCTATATAACTAGCCCATTGCTGTTTAAATGACAAGAAGATTGAATACAACTTACAGCTACATATTTAGTTCTGAATTTCAAAACCTTAAATGTAATTATCTATAGTCTTTCTAATTTTTATATTTACTGTATAGATTTAAGGTATATCACAAAATGGTTTGATATAATTATCATGACATACACATAAATGATTGCTACAATCCAGCAAATTAACACCCCAATATCTCATAAAATTACTTTCATTTCTTCCTTATTGTTGGTAATAAAAGAACCTAAAACCTACTTTTTTTCAAATTCCCAGTGTATAATACAATATTATTAACCATAGTCTTCATTGCTGTACTGTATGTCTTTAGTTTCATTCCTCCTACATGAATTCAACTTTGTATCCTTTGGCCTACATCTTCCTCTCTAGTCCTGATAAGAAGTCTTGGTCTTTCTAGTCTTGACAGACCCAAACTTCTCCTCATCTAGTACAGATACAGACGTGAATGTGAATTGCTTCACAAAATACAAACTATAGCTAGGTTTATTTGTCATGAAGTATCTAAGCAAGGTGAGTTTTGAGGAAAGCTCCTGAGCTTGAAGCCCCAGACAGTTAGATTGAGCTGTAGACTCTAAACAAGCATCATTATTTGCCTGTGGTCTTAAGAAGCTTTTGCTCTGCCATTTTTCAAAAGTCTGGTAGGATGGATAGTCTGTTAGGTTAAAACCACAGATTCAATCTAACTGAGAAATTCTGTACACTTTACTATTCCTGACATCTACCTCCTGTCGTCCCCAACCCAGACATGAACAGAAAGCCATGCCGCTTCTAACATCTGGAACATTGCACTTACCTTCATTCCTGCTGAGTTCAATGTCAGCAAACAACCCAATCTTGATGACTTGCCACAGAAGTCCTAGGACGAGATAAGGCTTTCCCTCCTTCAGGTCCTCAGCTCCTATGTTAACTACATGGCACCCAATGGCTGAGGCAGAGTTCAGAGCCAAGTTCAAATTTTCCTAAGGTAGCAAACAGAAGCAAGCGTGGTTCTTTCATTCTGCAGATGCCAAATGAGTACCGATAGGTAGATATATTTTCTCTCTCGAATGTTCACAGGCCTAGAGGCATAATATTCTCTGACTGTAAGTCTGGGAAAAAGCAGTGATTCCTTTTTGTTTCTTTTTTTTATTGTGAAAATACCATACAGAGGGGTTACAATTACATGGGCAAGATAACAAGTACATTTCTTATCAAGCATTGTTGCTTCCTCCTTTGTTTTCCCTTCCCATTCCAGCCTCCCCCCGCCCACCCCCCCAACACCAGAGTTGTAAAGTTCGTTTTCGACATAACGACTTGTACATCTCATTGTTGCAATGGATCCACCTGTATCCCTATTTAAACGATTTGTTTTTTCCCTTCCACTCCACAAATTATACCAACATCAAATACAGTGAAAGCAGGGATTATACCAAGATAAGTATTCTAATGTGTTTTTTTTCTTTCATGCAACTATTTCTAACATATTTATAAGATGATTTCTTTGTTGCTTAGCAGTGATTCCTAATAAGGCAAAAATCCAGTAATCCAGATACTGAGTTTACACAATGGCCTGCTCAGTCGAATCAACCTTGCATGGAAGGCCAGTGCTGGACAACAGGCAATTAATGGGTCTTATAGTTGTCACTGTTGCTCCATGCTGAGGCCCGCACTCAGTATGTTAGCCTGGAATAAAAGGGCACCTTTGTGGGGGAAGTCATTGTCCTGTCATTGGCCATCATTAAAGAGACAATCAGTGGTATCAATTAAGGTCATAAAAGAGAGTAAAAGTTGAAGTGATTATCTTTTGACTTGTAGGTTGAGTACTATGGAATGGAAAAAATTCAGATCAAGTTCATGGAGAAAAAACAATGCAGGGGTTTAAATAGGACAATTCATTAAGTGTTCATTAAGTGTGCTTGAGATTGTATGTGCTTGTGAGTAACAATTCATGTAGTATAATTCACAGTTTGAACAGCCAATTGAGTCTTCAGTCTCAAATCCATATACTATTCTTAAATCCACAAAGAAGATATCAAAATATCAGTTACGAATAGAATGTGTGTGTGTGTGTGTGTGTGTGTGTGTGTGTGTGTGTGAGAGAGAGAGAGAGAGAGAGAGAGAGAGAGAGGGAGAGAAAGAGAAGATTTTGTTTCTTTGTGCCAGAAGTAAAGCTTGAATTCAGGGCCTGGGTATTGTCCCTTAGGCTTTATACTCAAGTCAAGTTCGGTGCTCTACCACTTGAGTCACAGCTCAAGTGGTTTTTTAGGCTTTTTCAGGAAGTTACTTGGAGATAAGATTTTCATGAACTTTCCTGCCAGGCTGGCTTTGAACTGTAATGGTCAGAGCTCAACTTCCTGAGTAGCTAAGATTACAGATATGAGCCACCAGAGACCAGCTTAGAAGATGTTTCTAAGACAAATTAAAAGCAAAACAAAGACCATCAGAAATATTAGAGCTCTTACCTTAGCATTTAAAGCATGAAAAGATTGAGTCAGGCACCTCTAATGCATATCTATAATCCTAACTACTTAAGAGACTTAGATAAAGATGATTATAGTTTGAATCCAACCTAGGCAGGGGAAAAAAACTGAGAGACTCCATCCCACAATAACCAGCAAAAAGTAGAGCTAGATGTATGGCTAAAGTGGTAGAGCACCAGCTGAATAAGCAAGCCAAGCAAGCTCAAAGGCCTGAGTTCAAAACCCTGGTACAATCAGAAAGAAAAGTTGCTGCTTTTACTTATGGTGCGTTATAAATAAATTTAACATTAAGTATGTTTTTGTTACCACTTCTATTTTAAAAGTCCACAGGGTCACTTATATCCAAATAGGAGGTAATGTATTATTCATGATTTAAGATTTAAGATATGGTTTCTGAGCAAGGGAATGACAAGGATGATAAAATACTGGGACATAAGAAGATAGAAATATAGCTTATTTCATGCTGGCTCTATTCCAGTTAATCAACAAATTGAAAGAATAAAAGCAAATTCTATTTATTATGCTCTTGGCTGTGGCCAGCATCATTGAGAAAGCTGCCAGAGTACTTCCCGCTCTCCCTTCTCCCTCATTTCTTAGAAAGGTATCTTTTCAGCTAAATGCTCTGCATTTGGCATCAACTCAAAGAAAAATTGCCAGGAAGTTAGAGAGGAAACGTTAGCCAATGTAGACTTTATTCCTAAGCGGCCAAAACAAAATATAACCTTCCATCTACTAACACCCAATCAACATCCTTACTTGCCTCTCCATGAATTACAAAACTAGATAAAAATGTGTCTTTTTGTCCCCATCAGTTATGACAAATCACCTAGGTTTGGGGAATCCTGTTGGAACTCAGATAAAAAGATGATCCAGCAGTAGTGAAGGTATCCATTCATTCCAAGCCAGCCCTATGTTAAAAATAATGTTTGGGAGGCCAGGCAGTGATGGCTCACATTTGTAATCCTAGCTACTCAGGGGTCTGAGACCTGAAGACCATGGTTTTGAACCAATCTGGGCAGGAAATTCTGTGAGACTCATATTTCCAATTAACTAGTAAAAATCCAGAAGTGAAGGTATGACTCAGTGGTAGATTTCTAGCCTTGAACAAAGGAACAGCTCTTAGGCCCTGAGTTTTGGCCCAGAGAGAAAAAAAGAAAAAGAAGAAGGAAAGAAGGGAAGGAAGGAAGGAAAGAAAGAATGAGGGAATTATGAGGAAAGTTACCTGAATAGTGAAAGGGGTAAGCTTCTTTTTGTTGATTGTTCGTTCATCAATTGTGTCTGGCACTGAAAGATTGATCATTTTACTGAAAGAGAAAGGATGAAATTAAAGAAAGCCACCTTCTGCGTAGCAGAGCTCAAAAACACTGAATTTGAATTCTAGCAACCTCATAAGTGAACATCTATGTCAGCAACATGATTTATGCACCCAGGATTTCAATATAAAACAAATAACTCTACTTCAGTTAGGTTTAAACTACCCGTGGAGAAGGTTAATGTCTTTTAAGCTATACTAATAAACTAAGGCAAGCAATGAGAATCTTAACCCAGTGACTCACCCAAAACGGTGCAGAATTGCCCTAGACCACCAAAGCTACCACCCCCACTTCTATTTTCTTAGCCATAACACTTTCTTCACTATAGAAAATATTATTGCTAATTTCTGAGGTTATATAACATCTACATTTCTGTTGACAAGTGATTAATATGTCTAATAATCACACAATAACTCTATTGTTTGTCTTTTCCAAGTATTGGAGTTTGAAGGCAGGGCCTGGATCATTGCTTTAGCTGGCACTCTACCACATGAGCCAACACCTCCTGCCCTGCTTTGGAGATGGAGTCTCATGGACTTTTCTGCCTAGGCTGGCTTTGGATCATGTTCTCTTGGATCTCAACCTTCTGAGTAGCTAGAATTGTAGAAATGAATCACTGATAATCAGCCATGTCTCTGAATGTCATAACTAGTTGGAGCCAGAAGAACACAATCTAGTGTTCAATTCCAGAGAAGCTGTTAAGAACTGCAGAGGTGGTTTCAGAAATACCATTCTGAATTGACTGGCATTGTGTTCAGAGATCCCCTGTTCCAGCTGCCTTCATTATTTGAGTTGTAGGGTTGTATGTGATCCTCAATAGTCCCTCTGCTGAAGGATATTGCTGGCATTGGGTTATTACTATTATCCTTCTGCCATTCTCAAGTGTATTTGCTTTTCTCCTTTTTCATGGCGGGCCATGCTCAGATGAAGCAAAGTAGTGCATGTGCCAAATGTCATTGCTCTTGACCTTGTATTACTGTATTACTGCAGGTCTATTGATGCTTTTGATCTTCTTTATCCACCCTGCGCCCTTCCTCCTCATCTAAGTAATAGCAATGTGATACTTTTCATTATAAATTGCTTCTGAAATTGGTTTGCTTTCCTGGGCCCAGAGAACTGAAAGTCCAGAAAAGCATTCCCAGAACAGCTGAGCGCCAAAGGTAGATAGCTTAGGATAAACACACTTAATTGTTGACATTGCAGAAAATGGGCAATTCCCTGGAAATCGAGAAGAAAATTCTACTTACCAAAGGACAATACCATCTCCAACAGCATTGAAGAGATCATTGGTGTTTGGGTTCATTGGGACGACATGCTGACAGTCAGGGTCATTTTCCAGCGCTTTGTTTATCCAGTTGACAAAAGCATATTTTTCCTCCTCTGTGAATAAATGATTAAAATGACTATGTGCAAGGAGAAAATAGGATAGGACAACATTACCCAGATGCATCTCAGGTTTTCATGTACAGGAATATACACACACTTTTATATCTAAGTATCAAAAATAATTAGAAAGAACAAGGTATAATTTAAAAACTAAACATGATCTAATATCTACAGAATAAAAGGCATAGTTCTGTTTATAGACCTGCTGTTTGAAATATTAGATGACCATGGAAAAGTCTTACTTCACCTCTGAAATTCTTTACACCAAAATAATGAAACTGCCACAAATTAAATAATTTGTGATATAATCTTTCTCTCCTCTGTAAAACTGCCATAGATTGATCTTAAAAGTTGTAGTAAGCCAGGCACCCCTGGCTCACACCTTAATCCTAGTCACTCAGGACGCTGAGTGTGGTTCAAACCCAGCTTGGGCAGGAAAGTCTCTGAAACTCTTATCCCCAATTAACCACCAAAAAGCTGAAAATGGAGCTGTGGCTTAAGTGGTAGAGTGTCAGCTTTGAATGAAAAAGTTAAGGAACAGCTCCCAGACCCCAAGGCTCTGTTCAAACCCTAGTTCCAGCACACAAACCAAAAAACAACAACAAAAATAAACCATTAAAAATTGTAGTAAAACTTCAAGTTATACCTTATATCCTATTCATGCGTTCAAAATTGTGTATCATTGACAATAAGCATCTCTCAGAGGATTTCTGAGATTTAGGACCAAATAAAATAGTGAAATGCATGTATATTATGTTCAGAAGGAATTCTGAGTTTGGGAAACTCTGAACAGCAAATCAATCTTGCAGAGTCGTAACAAACATTTCACATAGCAAAAACCATCAAAGTTCCTGTGTTTTGTCTTAGCAACTACAAGTAGTATTTAACCCTGAGATTACTTTTCAGGTCAACTAATGTTGTGAAGAACTTAGTTTGGGAAATAATAGATACTTTTATTGTTGGGACTGTTAGAAGCTTCCATTAAAGCAGGTAACAGCTTTCAGAATAAATATATGACTTTCTCCCAAATCAATGAAGATATGATATTTTTTGACCACTAAGCAGGCATTAAAAATAATCATTATATTGAAGACAAGAGCTCAAGTAGCTAAATTTGTCCATAGATTCACACAGGAATTTGACATCCTTTAAACTATTGTTTTAATACAGATAAGATCATTTGGTATCAGGCCCTACCTAGTGCTAGGATAGCTCCTATCTTATAAACCAGGAGCTGGCCTATTTACACACAAAAAAAGAGATGATAGTTCATAAAGTTGTGATTACTTCTATCTTCAATTTTTATCTTCAATTTTTTGTTTTATTTGTGCCAGTCCTGGGCTTGAACTCAGGGCCTGGGTGCTATCGCTGAGTTTCTTTTGCTCAAGGCTAACACTGTACCACTTGAGCCACAACTCTACTTCCAGCTTTTTAGTAGTTAATTGGAGATAAGAGCTTCATGGACTTTCCTGCCTCGGCTGCCTATGAACTGTAATTCTCAGATCTTAGCCTCTTGCATAGCTAGTATTACAGGCATGAGCCAACAGCGCCCAGCTTGACTGACTCAGGTGTTGAGTACACTACGTAGTCTCCCTATACATTTCCTTCTTCTCAAACCATTGGCTCTCTCATCTTCCTACCTCTTAGTACAACCTACCTGAGTAGGAATGTTGGGTGCCAACACTAGACTGCTCTGAGGTACCACCGATTGCACAAATCCCCTCCTTCTTATTGATCGCTTTTCGAAAGGTCTTGGCAACCTCTGTGCTTTTTAGGCCATGGAAAACCTGCAGCAAGAGAATGTATTTTTAGAAATCCCAATCAATGGTCCAGAAAAATCACAAAGAAAAGAAGATGTAATGATGAAGTAAGGAGGGTAGGAATACCTTTCTCAATATTTTTTTAACTGATTAAAGTTCCAAGTTTCAAATGTATCTCCTAGGATTCTGCATGAGACTTACCTTGATAAACTCATCAAAGCTTATCTTTCCATCTTGGTTCAGATCACCTGTAGCCATCAGGTTTTCTGTAATTTCTCTTACTCTGTACCCAGGGAGAGGCAGACAGGCAGCCTTGAACAAGTCATTCAACTCATTGATGCTGATGTACCCATTGCCATCAGTATCTGTAATGCAAACAATATGATGATACTTCAGGGTAATTCAAGTACCACCTTCAGAAAGGTGAGAAGAGACCAAACAGGAAGTGAGGGACTAGGAGTAGTAATCATTCAAGGGTTTAGGCTTGACTATGAAGGAGTGAGAAAAGAAATCTCAGAGGTGGCCTGTTGTTACTGTATGGGAGGGATGGGGGTGCTATCCTCACCCTAACCTTCACAGTAACAGAGTCTTAATGTCAAAGAAGAGAAAATGCATCTGAAGGAACTCTTTGAAAGCTATTACATACATCAAAGGCCTTGTGATAAAGTGTAAGGAAGTATGCCATGGGTTAAAGGAAACCAAATGAAAACAGACAAGATGTAAAAGATGAGTCTTAAGGACCATCTTCAGATGAAAGTTACAGGAGAGAAAGGATCCACATTCCATGTTTTTGTAAAGTAGTTTTCTCAAGCTTATCTGTGAAATGTTCTCCCAGCACCTCTAGCCAATCCACTCCCTGCTACTGTTGATATTTTACTTAAGCTGACATTTCATTGAGTCTGTCCTGAAGCTACTCAATAAAGAATTGTAAGTGACGCTCGAGATTTACTCACCAACTTTGGCAAAAGCTTCTTGGAGCTCCAACATTTCCTCATCGGACACTGATCCTCTAGCCATCTTTTACTGCTTTAGGTAACAGATCTGGAGAGATGAAGAGAAGAATGAGTTTTGTACAGCTTAATTCTTGAAGTATTATATTCAGAAGCAAGTCCCACATATTCAAAGAAGAAATGATCTTCAGCCATGACTTATAACCATTTTTTTTTTTTTTTTACAAAATGTAAGCCAATGGAAACAGCACTGTGGCTCAAGAGATAAAGCGCTCGCCTTGAGCTGAAGAGCGCAGGGACAGTGCCCAAGCCCAGAGATCAAGCCCCCCACGACCAACCAAAAAAAAATATAAGTCAGAAATAGGCCTCTTCTCAACCTTTTCAATGGTGTTTTCCATGGACATCTGCTCACAATCTTCCCCCTCCCAGTGTTACAGGTGTCAAGAGATAGTATTGAATCTGAGCTGCTTGAGTATGTCCATTCTTAGGATACTCTCCCTTGGCACCCAACTACCGTGTTGTACAATATCCAAGAGTAGGAAACCAAAGAAGGAGAATCTGAGGTGCTCTGGTTAAGTCTGAACGTCAGATGAGAGCCAGCTTTCAATCCTTGGCCACCCCGTTAGGCAATCATGGCCTTTCAGGCTCATTTGAGTTCCCAGAGGACCACAGTGCTAGACAATATCATAAGAAATGGAAGAATTGCCCAGGTGAGCTCAGTCAATCAGTAGCAGGGGAGGTGAGGAGGTATTAAAGGTTAATACACCTCTGTACAGTATTTTCACATTAAAAAAATAATAAAGGTTAATACATTTGAGCCATTTGTAACATAGCAGTATACAACACTGAATTTTTATACAAATGCTTTAAAAAATATATTCATGCTCATATTTAAAATTAATGTTTGACTAATGCTCAGTGAATGTGACCTAAGTATTTTGCATGAGAGTAGAATAATGATATTTGTTAAAATTGTTTTATAAAGAAGAAAGAATAATTGAGGAGGTAAACTCTCATTATATGATGGCAATACCACAGGAAACAACTTTGTCAATTACTACATACTAGTAAGAATTGATTGGAATAATAAAAGATTGGTTGGAAAAACAATTAAAACATAAATTGGCCAACCCATGTTGAAATACATGCTATAAACTCAAAGAAAGTTAGTCAGAATTCCCTATGTATTCAGGAATGGAGGAAAGGAGACTGTCCTTCTAATACAGTCTGAGCAAAGCCATAATCTTAATGAGAAATATGCTAGTGCTTGAGCAATTTCTTGGTCCTGGTACATCATTTCTGCCCTCTAGTGGGAAGAAAGAGAATGAAATAGAAAATGGATTATGTTCTCCCTGCCCCTTGCTAGTCTAGACACTCCAGTTTGTTTCACAGTAGAGTAGAAGCTGGCTCCAGATTTCTACTTGGGGGAAGTTGGTGATTAAATTGAGTGAGAGGGGAGAGAAGAGGTATTCTTAAGTGCAATTACATTTTGAACTTTTAATAAAATTATAATTCCTTAAAATATTTTAAATTTGTGATAGAATGTTTTAATCAGTTTTTGCCCATGATTTCACACCACCATACAGTGTTATACTTTTTTACCTGGAAGTTGTTTCAATCCAGGGCTTTGTGCTTACTAGGAAATCCCTCTATCACTTGCCCAGTCCATCAATGGTTTCAAACTTCAGTTTCTGCACAACTCTTTGTTAACACAGACCTTTGCATGTAAATAAAAGTAAACAAATAGCTGGGTGCTAGTGGCTATGTCTCTAATCCTAGCTACTCAGGAGGCTGAGATCTAAGGACTGAGGTTCAAAACTAGCCTGCAGGCAGGAAAACCCTGAGACTCTTATCTCCAATTGCTACCAAAGAGCTTGAAGCAGAGTTGTGGCTCAAGTGATAGAATGCTAGCCTTAAGCAAAAAGGCTCAGAGACAGTGCCCAAGCACTGAATATAAGCCCCAGAACAGGCACAGGAACACACACACACACACACACACACACACACACACACACACACACACACACACACACACACAGTAAATCAATACTCAGCCACAAAGAAGTAAATATTAAAATAACAATTCTGACAGTCTTTTGTTGAAAATCACAGTGTCATATCTCCTTGTCACTTTACTCATTTATAGGAACTCCAGGGAACATGCTTTGAATAATCACAGAATTCTTTATGTTATTGTATTTCAGTTCATTTAAAATTCCACGTAAACTCAATCTTCTTCACGCAACACATAAACCCCTAAGAGACGGGTAATATCTATCTGTCCTCCCTTCCTCCCTTTCTTCTTCCCTTCTTCTTCCCTTGCTCCTTTCCTTTCTTTATTTTTCCGTCTTTCTCTCCCTTCTCTCACTTCCCTCCATCTTTTGTTCCTTCCTTCTTTACAACAATTTAGTTTTCCAAACATAGTTTCAGCCAAGCTATAGAGATATATCCAAGCTTAAAGGTGAAATCAATGAAATAATATAACTGAGGAGAAGTAAGAAAGCTTGAATGATGGGAGATGATGATGGGGAGGAAATTTAATACTTCAGTACACACCTAAGAACCTGCAAATTTGGCTGGACATAGGATAAAATTAAAACTCTCATTCTTTAGAGTGAACACAAAAATAGGAGAATCATCAGTTGTATGATTCACCCTATCTATAGGTGGCAAACCAACTTGGCAGAACTGAGATCTGAAAACTAAGTCTTCACTGGGCTTGTGCAAAGAGGTTGCTGTGAGATGTAGGCAATAGAATAGTTTGTGTCTTTTCTAATGTCCCACAATGTCAGCTGGTAGAATACATTATGCATGAATGAATTATACATTACACAGAATATATTTACAGTTCTTTCCTTTTTTTTTTTTTTTCAGGCCCTGGAGCTTGAACTCGGGCCTGGGTACTCTCCCTGAGCTTTTATCTGTTCAAGGCTAGCATTTTCTACCATTTGAGACACAAATCCTACTTCCAGGTTTTGGGTGGTTAATTGGAGATAAGAATCTTGTAGACTTTCCTGCCCAGGCTGGCTTTGAACCTCAATCCTCAGATCTCAGCCTCCTGAGTAGCCAGGATTACAGGCATGAGTCACCAGTGCCCAGCTCACAGTTCCATTTCATAGACCAGGAAATAGAAGCCCACAGAAGCCAAAATACAGTTCTTTGATCACACAGCTAGGGAGAGGAGCATTGGAGATTCCAGCCCTCATGTCTCTCGTCCTCGCCCAGCTGTCCACGAGGCTCCACACCTTCAGATTGTGACTAGACACCCCCCCCCCATTCATCCAACCATTATTCATTAACACTTCTTCATTAAATTTCTACAATCTATGTAGCTTAGGGAAGATTTCAAAAACTACTCATGAGCCTTCTAGACATGCTAGCTGCAGAGACTACGTTTTCTTTTGTGTTATCAAATTAAGGCTTCTGTGCTCAGAAATCAGTTAGAACTTTGCATATTTGATGAGTCTCGTGACTAGCTTGATTGGGCTCTCCTTTATACCAGCACAGCCTGTGTGCATTCATAGCAGGTCTTCTCATCATACTGCAGCCAGGCCTGAGGTCAGAACTGGTCTAGGACCCCACAGCTAGATGGATCTAATGGTCTTAACACCTCTTGGTTCATGAGTGCTCATGATTTTTGTGAGATAAATACACATTTAACACACTAGTTTATGAATGCCTACTTTAAACTGAGCCCTGTTCTTCATTTCAGAGAAGGCCCAACAGTACTGTTCAAGTTAGTGAGCCTGAAGCAATGTAAAGGTAAGGAGGATAAACAGGATTCCAAACCAGCTCTAATCCTTGGCAGAAGAGTATCCGATTTTACAGCACTTGTAAAAGACTGCCAAGAAACATAAGTACTGGCAGGAATGAGGTTCTGTTTTAAGTGTCAAAATCAGAGCCAAGAAAGAAACAAAAGAATCACAGTATTCAAGCGGAGCAACTGTATTGAAGATAGGCACCGGTGGCTCACACCTATTATCCTAGCTACTCAGGAGGCTGAGATCTGAGGACCCCAGTTCAAAGCCAGCCAGGGCTGGAAAGTGTGTGAGATTCTTATCTCCAATTAACCACCAGGAAACCAGAAGTGGCACTGCGGCTCAAGTGGTAGAGCGGTAGAGCGCTCGCCTTCAGCTGAAGAGCTCAGGGACACTGCCCAGTATCATAAAAGAACAAATGTCCAAAAATTCCAAAGATCATTGTATACTGAAAAAGTAGAAAATTTTAGGATAAAACTTGCATGACCTATAAGAAGTAAAAAAAAAAATTAAAAAGGAAAAAGGAGGATACTTTAGGTAATTTTTATTTTTATTTATTAACTATTTATTTAGTTTGATGCCAGTACTGGGGCTTGAACTTGGGGCCTGGGCATTATCTCTTAGCTTATTCTAATCAAGATTGATACTCTACTACTTGAGCCATACCTTTGCTTCTGGCTTTCAAGTGGTTACTTGGAGAAAAGACTCTTACATCCTACCCAGATTGGCTTTGAACAGTGATCCTCAGATATTCACCTCTTGTGTAACTAGAATTTCAGGTGTGAGCCATTAACACCCAGCCTTATTTTGGAATTTTTGAGACAGTATTTCTAAATAGTTTAGACTGGCTTTGAACCTTCTATCCTCCTGCTTCCACTTCCTAATTGCTGGGATTACATACAAGCATGACTCTACTTGACTTTAAGACAGGACATTTAAGTACCTCACATTTTCCTAAGAGATTTGTGAGTGGGAAAATCAATACAAAGAAGCCAAATAGAAAGAAAACATGCACATTTTAAAAGTATAAAACTAGTCAGTGATTTTACAGTGTAGAAAAAGAGAAGTGAAAGGGGGAAGAAAGAGTTGGCTGTGAAGTTGCTTTGATAGTGTGTGTTGTGGCTGGGCCCAAACCTACACGGAGCTAGGCAGTGAGTCTTTCCATGGCAATGAGCAGTGCGTCCTAGAAACACAACGTAATTTTTAGAGATAGATGTCACCTCAGAGTTAATTTACTATAGCCCTCTAATTTTCTAGATAAGGAAACTGAAGTTTCCAGAAAATGAAATGCTTTATCAGTGTACAATTCTCCAACGCAGGAGTTCTCAGGCCA